TAATTTAATACCACTAATAAATTCGGTTCGAGGCACTCCCATGTACAACATTTGGCAACAATCGATTCGAGCGAAGATAGTCGGCGACGCAGACAATATTTTAGAATTATATGGAACGAGTCTTGATTGGGGAGAAATTAAACAGAACCTTATCACTCATTACAGTGATAGGAGAGACGAGGTGTCTTTGACCCGAGATCTCTTCAAGCTATACCAATCTGGAACTGTCGAGGATTACTATAGCAAAATCTCACATATTGTATCCCTTTTAATAAACCTACTAAATCTAAACAAATGGGACTGAAAGTATTTCTTTCAGGCCTCAGGGTTCCGCTTGGACCCATAATAAGAGCACAAAGCCCAAGCACACTCAAAGATGCTTTGAGATTATGCTTAGAAGAAAATAATTATAGTTTGTACAAAAGCACAAAACAAACGATTTTGACACAGCCACAAAGATTTCAACAAGCACAACCCCAACCCAGGATTCATAATTTTATCCCGCAACAGAGAAATAACCAGCCCATTTCCCAACCAGGTCCTAGTTGGAGAGAATCTGCAAATGCTCCAAGCAGAAATATCCAACAAATTCCCCAAGCACAGCAACAGAGACCAGTTCTACCACCTAGAAATGTTTCCGCTCCTAGACCCAACCCCAATTCAGTAAGACCGGAACCGATGGAAATAGACCCATCAATTCGGTCAAGACAAATAAATTACATGAACCGTCCACCACTTGCAAGAATAAATGGACCCCATTATCAGATTGAATACGAGAGTCAGTGCCACGAAATTTATCATAATAATGCCACAGAAAGCGAAGGCTTTTCTGAGCCCACTTCAAATCAAGACGTTATACAAGAACCAGTCCAAACAAATTATGAAGGAAATCAAGATACTGAAGCCGATTCTGATGAACTAAATTTTTGCATGGCAAAAGACAACAATTTGAAGAGATGAAAATTTTTATCCCATATGTTAAGCTCCAAACATCAAAAGGAACGTTGAACTTCCTTATCGACACAGGGGCTAACAAAAGTTACATTGATCCTAAACACGTGAACATAGAAAAATGTCGATTTACACATCCGATCACCGTTCGTAATATCAATGGCTCTCACAAAATTGATAAATTTGTCCAATTCAACCCATTCATTGATATTCCAAATACAAAACCTTTGAAATTTTTTTGTTTTCCACTTTCATCCATTTTTTGATGGCCTGATCGGTTATCAGTCCTTACAGGAGTTGCAAGCAGAAATTATAACCTATCGTAATCAGCTAAAATTTCCAGCGAAAACAATCCAAATGTTTAGGAGATATCCTAATTCACATTCCCTAAATTTTCATGAAAATTACTCTATAATTAAAAGATTACTAACAACTATCAAAGACGGTGAAGTTTTTTTGAAAAATGATATTAAACTGCATGAAAATGTATTTGTCCCTTCTGGATTGTATAAAATAGAAGACCACAGAATTACTTTCCCCATTATAAGTTCTCAAAAACAGGAAGTGAATTTAAGTCTTGACACTGATGCCATATTCACAGAGATAAATAATTTCGAAACATCTGGCAACCCAATAGGATACTCAAAGATCAAACCCGATTATATGAAGCAGTTACGTATTGATCATTTAAATTCAGAAGAAAAATCAAAACTTCTCCATTTAATTTCAAAATACCAAGACACATTTTACATGGAAGGATCTGATCTTTCATTTACGAATGTCGTCAAACATAGTATAGTGACTAGGGACGAAATACCTGTCCATGCTAAAAAGTTACAGGTATCCTTTTTGTCACAAAAAAGAGGTCCAAGAACAAATCTCTAAAATGTTAGCACAAGGAATCATTCAACCTAGCACATCCCCTTGGTGTTCGCCAATATGGATTGTGCCTAAAAAGTCTGATTCATCAGGCAAACAAAAATGGAGACTCGTTGTCGATTACCGTAAACTTAATGAAAAAACGGTCCATGACAAATATCCACTGCCAAACATTACCGAAATACTAGACAAATTAGGGAAGTGTCAGTATTTCACAACTTTAGATTTGACCTCTGGTTTTCATCAAATAGAGGTCCATCCAAAGGATGTTCCAAAAACTGCCTTTTCAGTAGAGCATGGCCTCTACGAATATTTGAGAATGCCTTTCGGATTGAAAAACGCCCCAGCCACGTTCCAAAGAGTTATGGATCATGTGCTGAGAGATTTCTTTGGAAAATGTTGTCTTGTCTATATGGACGACATTATTATATTTTCTACGTCGCTTCAAGAACATTTGGAAAACCTAAAGAAAATTCTCGAAGCATTACGAAAAGTTAATTTAAAAATCCAATTGGACAAAAGTATATTCCTAAAAAAGGAAGTCTCATTTTTGGGCCATATTGTAACGGATCAGGGTATCAAACCGAATCCAGATAAAATAGAGGCTATAAAGAAATGACCCATTCCTCGAAACCAAAAAGAGCTTAAAGGATTTTTGGGCATTCTTGGCTACTACAGGAAGTTTGTACGAGATTTTTCCAAAATTACTAAACCCTTAACGTCCCAATTACGCAAAGGTGAAAAAATCGAACATACACCTTTGTTTCTGAAAACATTCGAAATTTGCAAATCATTGCTGACGCACAGCGATGTATTACAATATCCCGATTTTGAAAAACCTTTTGTCCTAACAACCGATGCTAGTGACTTTGCCATAGGAGCCGTTCTATCTCAAGGTCCAATCGGTAGTGATAGACCAATTGCGTATTCATCACGAACATTGAAAAAGTCTGAAGAGCATTTTTCAGCAATTGAAAAAGAGCTCTTAGCGATTGTATGGGCCTGTCAGTACTTTCGCCCTTACCTATTCGGGAGAAAATTCACATTGTTTACGGACCATCAGCCGTTAACATACGCTATGAACTTAAAAACCCCCAACACTAAACTGGTTCGTTGGAGGCTACAACTTTCAGAATTTGACTTCGAGATAAAGCATAGGCCGGGAAAACAAAACGTTGTGGCCGATGCATTATCCAGAATAGTTTCGGAGTTGAATATAAATGAAACTTCATCAGATAATGAAACAGTACAGAGTGCTGACACAGACGATTCAGAATTTATTGCGTGTACTGAACTGCCAGTGAATTTTTTTCACAATCAGATAATTCTCAAAATTGGTGAAAATGAATCGGAAGTTTATGAGGAAATTTTTCCAAGAGTCCATAGAAGAACAATCACCAAATTAGTTTTTGGAGTCCCTGTAATTCTTAGAATATTTAAAGAATACATGGACACAAGGAAAATAAATTGTATTTTGTGCCCCGAAAACTTGATCGGTACCATCCAGTTTGTTTATAAAAATTACTTCTCAAGGTGTAAAACTTTCAAAATAAAAATTTCTCAAAAAATGTTGATAGATATTCAGGATCAAATTGAACAAGACCAAATTATCGAAGAAACTCATGAGATTTCCCATCGAGGAATCAACGAGAACAAAAATGAAATCATAAAAAGATTTTATTTCCCTAAAATTAAATAAAAAATACGTAAATTTGTCATTCTGTGCGAGGTCTGCAATAGAATGAAATACGAGAGAAAACCGCACAAAATTAAATATGCAGAAACTCCTATCCCTAAACAACCCTTAGAGATAGTTCACATTGACATTTTTGTTTCCAAACCGAATTTGTTTATTTCAGCAGTGGACAAATTATCAAGATTTGGAATTTTACTGCCGATAAAATCGAGAACTATTTTGGAAATCAGAAAAGCATTGGTTAAATTTATCTCATTATATGGTGCACCAAAGCTCATCGTTTCAGACAATGAGCCTGCACTGAAATCAATTGAAATAAGAGACATGTTGGATAAATTGAATATTCAACAGAACTTTACGCCAACGGATCGCAGCGAAGTAAATGGAATCGTTGAGAGATTTCATTCCACATTGGCTGAGATCTACAGATGCAACAAACACAAATTTGAAAATCTAACGGATAAAGAGAAATTTTTAATATCATGCTCGCTGTACAACAACACTACCCACACTTCAACCAAGTTGAAGCCTAGGGAAGTGTTTTATGGTATTAAAGATGGCGAAGAACGACCTCTGGATCGTACTCTGATGTTAGAGTTTAGAAGTAATTTATACCAGGAGGTAGCCAATACAATTTCTCAAGTCCAGAAATCTCAACATAATCAACATAATATTTCCAGAGAAGACGCTCCTATACTAGAGACCGATCAAAACGTTTACAATAGAAATCAAGGAATAAGAGCTAAAACAAAAGAGCGTTATCAATCTATTAAGGTGCGCCCGGACAGAAACCAAACATACCTTGATCATAAAGGAAGAAAACTTCACAAAATGAAATTAAAACGTATAAGAAAATAAATAAAATACGCAATGATACTAATATCTTCTTCCCTTTTTTAGGTTTCACGAACGATGGAAATAAAAATAATTTTACTCTTTGTATTTTTTAGCAGCTCACTTGGTACTTCGAATATCGAAATAACGGATCTATCCAATAACCCAGGACTTTTGGTTTTAGCAACGGGAAAAAGTTTTCTAAAGGTAGGAAACCATAAAATTTATCATATCATAGATCTGGAACTGTTTTGGCCTACCGTTAGAAAACTAGAGGTAATTATTGAAGGACTTTCATCATTCACAAATTTAACAGAACTCACTAGAACCTTATCAACAAAATATAATAATATACGAAACCTCTACTTTGGCATGTTACCCAGAAATCGAAACAAAAGAGGTTTATTAAATTTTGTTGGTACCGGAATTAAACAATTAACTGGAAACATGGATCACGAGGACTTCATCGAAATTACAAAAGAAATGAATCAACTGAAATATAATAATTTCCAATTAATTGAGGAAAACAACAAACAAATAAAAATAAATTTAAAGATGCAGGATAGAATCAATGAAGTTCTAACACAGCTTAAAAACCAACAAGATTTAATCTCAAAAAATTTAATAGCAAGTAGGCAAGATAGTGGTTACAGCAAAGAAATTAAAATTATTAAAGAAATATTCAACATCAATGCGAACTTAGATCATTTAAAATATCATTTGCAAGGCATTTGTGAATCAATTCATTTAGCTAAATTGAACATAATTTCAAAACACATTTTGAGTACAGACGAGCTAGGATTCGCTTTACAAAAGTTAGAGGATAAGGGAATTATTATTGAAAACTATGAACAAGTGTATGATTACCTAGAAATCTCAACGTATTTTAATCAATCGAAATTGTTTTTTATAATAAAAGTACCTCAACTTCAGAGCATTGTTTATAATAACTTCATACTAGAAGCATTACCGGTAGGACACAGAATTTTAAAAATACCAGCTGCTTGCGCAATGACCAGTGAACACAGGACATATTTCATCATCCAGAGCTGTCAACGTATCGCAGGCAACTCAATTTGCACCGAACAGAACCTTTTAAATTACACGGCGGATACATGTTTCCCCGAGCTACTGAGAGGATTACCTGGTAACTGTACGTTCCAACATTATCAGAGGGCTGACATAATCAAACCAATTACAAATAACCATGTGATCGTCATATCAAGCAATAACGCACATCTAAATTCTACTTACGGCATCTCAAATCGAAACATAACAGGAACACTTTTAATCGAATTCCATAACTGCTCTATAAAGGTGAACGAAACAACTTTTACTAGACTGGAATTCAATCATCCTGAAAAACCATTCGTTTTACCCCTTCATGGCCTAAGAATTTCAGAAAAGAAATTCGAGAAAGCAACAACTATCGAGGATCTCCAATTCGAAAACAGGCGTCATTTAATTAACCTGACACAAAGTCATAAACAAAACGCAATTGCAACATTTGGAATTTCTACTTGCAGTTTCATCCTTGGACTCGTAATCATTATTTATTTGTTGAAAACAAATAATTTCAGTTGGCAGTCAAAGAATATTCCACAGATTGCACAAACAAACGCAGATCCAAGTATTCAACATAATCAAACGCACCGGGACGTCGCGTCTTCAGGTGGGGGAGTAGTTAAGGCCCAATCATCCCTTGAACCAGGTACATCAGCCAGAGTTCAGCTTCCATTGATAAACCACGCATCATCGAGCACAACATCACCCAGAGTCCAGCTTCCTTTGATAAACCACACATCATCAGTAGCCACCATCATTCCAACAATGTAGCCATCCATCAGAGCCAGAGACATCATTACGCCGAGTCAGCATCTTCGATCATCATTCCTGGTATTCATCGAGCAGCATCACTCGACGTCAACGATCGCCTTTCACACGGTAGCAGCGCCGCAGCTTAGGTAGGACGTGACAGTTTAATAAACAATAATCCATAGGATAGAATTCGTAAGCTGTAACCATTGCGAGAAATAAATCATCATTTATTCTTAGTTCGACAGCCAGCAGAAGAAGTTGTTCTTTTTTTAAAAACAATCCCAATGCCGCCTCGACCATAACTCCTATAATTACCAAGGCAAAGATGAATTTTGACTCCTGTGGAAAACGGCAAAAAATCGATATTGACAAGGTAAAGGAACTGAGAGATCGACTTGAAATAAAGCCACATAAACCTAAGAGAAAAGGTTTTATGCAAGCTCCTTATTGGTCTATTACCATATTAATGGTCCTTTACTTACTGGGAACCACATTTGGATTACATTCACAAGGGTTAATAGCATACGATTGTGCTAATCCAGAAGTAAATATGACGAGCTATTCCTTATTAGATGTGACATCATGCCTACCTTCAACGAAGTACTTATCAATTTCTGAGGTATCAATGCAAGTACTGCAGCAAAACGCCAAAATCTATGTGGTATTGAGACGGCCCCCGTTCCATGTTTTGCATTTTATCATTGGCCGTCACATTATGTCACAGACAGTGACCTAGAGTTATACAATTAAGAAAGAAGCTAGGGCATACCAATGGTACCCCGAGCGCGGGCCTTTAAATTTGGCTTCTGCCAATGATAGCAGTTTTTTTTTTTTTCAAGTTCACACAACAGCGCAACGCGCGCCATAGCAGGTTGTTTTGTTATTTCTCTCACCAGCATGTGGCTCTGAGAGAATAGCGTGTAGAATGAACTTCTTTTTAGTACAAGAGAAGCATGCTAGGGTCTATATAAGTAAAATCAGTGAATAAAGCTGGGTTGTCTTGTTGTATCTAAACCAGTGTTGGGTAGTTTTTTTTTTTATGACCGCCGGCCCCGCAGTATGCATTCTCACACGTCGGACTATGAATAAATCTGTCCTCTAGGACTAAGTGAATCTTTTTTAAAAAGTGACTTACGTGAAACCATCCATATGTGTATATCGTTCTGGAAGCTTATTTTGTCAAATGTAACAAACCTGATAACGAAAATAGGAAGCGCATTTTGGCCAAACAAGGTATAGAACAATACTTTGGACGCATAAAGCGAGAAATGCAGACGGGTGTGATAAAGCGCGTAATTCCAGAGTTCAGAAACTGCCAGGCAACGGCAAGGTAACAGATAAGGATAAGACTAGCACAATAGTTCGACAGATTAGTGATACAAAATTTGTTGAAGAGCTTCGAGGAACATTCAAAAACCAGCAACATATTTTACTTGTTGCAGACCCCGGTATGGGAGAAACTAGATTACTGCATTTTGTAGCGTTTGAAGTTCAAAAACAAAACCAATCTGATGTATTTAAGAACGCTATGTAATGAACTAAACAACATAGAAGAAGTATCTGTAGTGGCAACCCTACTTGCATGCGGTAAAAGGCGGTAAAAGCAAAGTTACCGTTTTGGCTTTGGAGAGAGTTGACAGTTAATCTCAGTTACGATATTGTCATCGGAAAAAGCAAGAAAACAAACAGCGCAAATTTTAGTGCTTTGAATTTCATCCAGAACGGATGCTGGAAGCACTCAAATTCAGAATGGGTGACAACCCTATGAATTGTAAATCAAAGCGTCAGCAAGAAACGCCTGGCAACGACCAAAGTTGCTAGACATATATCATCAGCAGAAAATATGCCACCAGCAGTATTGCAACGGGCTGGTGGTCCGATATCAAAACCTGCACCACGAATCACATAAACACTCGACACGATAAACTGAAGCCAGCAACAAAGTAATAATCCAACTAAAATGTGGCCTTTTGGAAACAGAGAAGAAAGTGGTGAAGTCATAAAGAATGATCTTTCATCCCACGACGTAATATCGTACTCCTTAGACGGAGCATTCACCATCGCTGCACTGGTAGCGATCCTGGTTTACCGATGGCGGGTAAACTCAAACCGCTTGCGTCAGCTAGAACGCAGCGTTAAACGACACGAGCTGGACGGAGTCAGCTCAACATGACCGGATGCGGAGGAAATTCGAACCCAGGCGACGCTGCAGCGAAAGATGACGCTGCGTTCAACAACACCCATCAAGTAAAAACAATCCAATGTACTAAAAAAGTAAATAAAATCATTCTTAGTCTAACTTCCAAACGAGTCGGGTCTCTTTTGTATATCACAAGTCAGATTCGGCTCCATAGCGAAGATGCCCATCCACCTTCCATTGTAGTTTCCACGGCAGGCAAGCCAAGCAACCAGCCAATTCATCATTCCCAGAAACAACATCGTCGTTCCCACATAGCGTCTGGAATAGATCAAATTCAGTTCCGACTAACCTCATCGAGTGCAACCTGAATCCCGGTACGTGACGATTCGATGGAGGATATCGTGGCGACGTAGACTGTTCCCAGCTGACCTCAGCAGTTTAACAGAATAGTTAGGTTGTTAGATGGTCGTAAGTAGAACAGGCAGTCAGTTCTTAGTTGACTCTGAAAGTGATCGGTTGGTAGTTCTAGTTTGATCTGTAGTTCTAATTTGGTGAAGTGAATACAAGTGTTCAAGTGAACAAAACGTTTTTTAAAAATTCCCTGATGACAATCAGTACATAAGTGAATATCGATCTGAAAGCTTATTTTGTCGAATGTAACAAAGCTGATAACAAAAATAGGAAGCACTTTTTGACCAAACAAGATTTAGAACAATGCTTTGGACGAATAAAGCGTCAAATGCAGACGGGTGTGATAAAGCGCGTAATGCCAGAGGCAGAAGAAAGAAGGACATCGTAAGACAATCAGTGGGTAAATTGTTAAACATTGTTCAGAAACTGCCAGGATAAGACTAGCACAATAGTTCGACAGATTAGTGATACAAAATTTGTTGAAGAGCTTCGAGTAACATTCAAAAACCAGCAACATATTTTACTTGTAGCAGACCCCGGTATGGGAGAAACTAGATTACTGCATTTTGTAGCGTTTGAAGTTCAAAAACAAAACCAATCTGATGTATTTAAGAACGCTATGTAATGAACTAAACAACATAGAAGAAGTATCTATAGTGGCAACCCTACTTGCGTGGGGTAAAAGGCGGTAAAAGCTAAGTTACCGTTTTGGCTTTGGAGAGAGTTGACAGTTAAACTCAGTTACGGTATTGCCATCGGAAAAAGCAAGAAAACAAGCAGCGCAAATTTTAGTGCTTTGAATTTCATCCAGAAAGCAGGCATTGGTAGCAAGTGATTTGTGTCTGCGAGTATCGATAAGGTCATTACTCCTTGATAAAGTTCATCGACCTTCTGAGATAGTGCATCGACGATCGGCTACAGATCGCTGACCTTTCGGAACGGTTCATCGACCTGGGTAGTGAAGAAGAAGAAGAATTTGAAGTGCATTTTGTTGCCGGCTCCGTTGTGCTGGAGTGCTGTTGCTGCAGAATCCCATCATTATTAAGAATTAAGTCAGAAATCAGGACCAGAGTTGACCGTATTTTGGGCTTTTGGACTGCTGTTCAAATTGAATACGAGCTTTGTTCCGTCTAAGCGATTAGACAGGTACTTCATTTTTTTCCCCTCTTTTTTTATAGTTGAGAGAAACATTGTTTTTGGGATTGTATTTTAATTTTTTTTTTTTCATTGTTGTGTTTTGTTTCCCTACACAATTGACCAATAAGAATGGCGATGGCTACAACTACAGAACCGCGAGTTAGCACCGAAGCCTCCCGGCTGGAATGCTGATGCTGAACATGCACTTTGGAACTTGGCAACGACGGCACACCGGATGGGCAGCTACGAACATGCAAGGCAAGACAAATTGATCGACGATGGCAACGGACGGAATTTGGACGATGGCACCAGCGGAGGAAATGCAGGCAATATGAACTGTAGTTAGGTTTGATTGAAAAATAAAGTCCAGTTCGGTTTTAGCTAGCGAGTAGTTAAGAAGTTATTTTTTTAAAAGTTTATCACATCCGCATCGACTTAACTCGCGTAATGCCAGAGGCAGAACAAAGAAGGACATCGTAAGACAATCAGTGGGTAAATTGTTAAACATTGTTCAGAAACTGCCAGGCAACGGCAAGGTAACAGATAAGGATAGGACTAGCACAATAGTTCGACAGATTAGTGATACAAAATTTGTTGAAGAGCTTCGAGGAACATTCAAAAACCAGCAACATATTTTACTTGTTGCAGACCCCGGTATGGGAGAAACTAGATTACTGCATTTTGTAGCGTTTGAAGTTCAAAAACAAAACTAATCTGATGTATTTAAGAACGCTATGTAATGAACTAAACAACATAGAAGAAGTATCTGTAGAGGCAACCCTACTTGCGTGGGGTAAAAGGCGGTGCATATTGAATCAAAATAAGATTCCGAGACGTTTGTGGATCGAAAAATTAAATACCTATGGAAATCGATAGGTTGTCGGTTTCAACCCGAATTCCCATACGCAGAATAAGCAACAGTGAAAAAAGGCAACACCAATTAATCAACAGTAATGGAAAAACGTGAATATCAGCGTGTTTTAATAAGGAAAACTACATCAAGATGAACGACCAGCAGCTAATAAGGACAACAACGCCTTCATCGGACCCAAAATAAATCCACTCTAACGTGTACATCTAGGACAAGGGTAAATACGACAACAGTAGCAGCAACCAAGGTAAACCGATCTTTTTATTACACCTACAGTACTATTCAGGAGGTACTTCATGAGACTTCACCTAGATAGAAATTCCAATCGAAGACAACTTAAACGGAAACTTATTAATCCCTCCTCGATGTGAAGTATACAGACAAATTCCAAATATTAATACTAATCAAGATTACGTACTAACATCCAAAGAAATTAATCCAGGAGTATTTTGTGCTAACTCCATAATTAATAGTGCTAATCCAATAATTAAACTAATCAATACCACAAACCAAACTGTCGAAATAAGTAATATATTTTCAGATTTTTGTAAACCATTAGAAAATTTCAACATATAGTTATGTCCCAGCCTGCCTAAGATCCAGCCCATCCACCTTACATTGTAGTTTCCATGCCAGGTAAGCCATGCAACCAGCCAATTCATCATTCCCAGAAACAACATCGTCGTTCCCTCATAGCGTCTGGAATAGATCAGATTCAGTTCCGACAGGCCCGTAGCCAGCATTTGGTTTCGGGGGGAGCTAATTTTATGACATAAAAACTTCAATGATTTATAAAATGTGCGCCTAACTGAACATCGATTGATACACTGTTTTTTTTAACCTTAACCAAATCGTTCAAAATCATGTGCCATCATTTTTTTTTTTTTTTTTTTTTGTTAATTCGTTTTAATTTTTGGTCGGAATTTTTAATGAACCATCAGAATGTAAAATAATAATTTTTCAAACTCTTTAATACGCAGTTATGAGAAAAGTTAAACAAATGTATGAAATTCAAGAAAATATTTGTAGTTTTAATTGTTTTCTGTTGGTAATGATGATCAAGATTTGCATTCTGTTAAGAAAGACAAAAATTTGTTACATATTTTTTTAAACATAATTATTTTAAGATTTAATGGTGTTGAATCGTAAAATCACCGGCACCGGATCCTAATTCATTTAAATTTATGAAGGCGGTAAATAACAAACATCCCTCGATGCAGTGGTAGCAATATAATCCACACGAAACACGAACAGCGAATATTGTTCCCTTCATCATTCTGTATGTTTTTAAGTTTTTGTTTTAGCATCACTGTATTTTTGATTTGTTTTTGAATTGATCGTTATTCTGTGATATTTTGTATTGTTCCAGTTAGCTATATAAGTGCAAATATTTAATGCAATTAGATTAAGTTTGAATTTGACTTCCGATCAGGGTGCTGCCTGAAAGAGGTAATAAATAGTGAATTAGAAATGTATTCTTTTACTTCATTTGAATCAGTTGCCGATCTCCAAACTGCTGTCCAAAAATCTGAGCAACAAATTAAACACAACGTAGAGCCATACCCTGGACATTATACCTGGTTATTACAAAAGTAATCTTCTAGCTTTACTCTAAGCAGATAATTGATATTATAGCCAAGCCCGAAAGTCGCTGGTTTCCCATTAGTTTTAATTCGTTTCAGTGTGGAGAAAGATCTTTCCACACTGGTTGTAGTGACCGGTAGTGTCAACAAAATCTTCAACAAAACATTGATTGTTGGAAAATACGTCGGGTCACATTTATCAAGCAGCCCAAATGCCTCAAAATTCTTGTTAATATTTATGAATGTCCGGCACCAGAGCTCGTATTCCACCTTTACCTGCAACCAGCCAGTGATGCAAAATATCATGACACTCACGTGAAACTCGTTTTCGCATCAACCGACTATCGCTGACAGATCGTTTTGTCACGCTCTGAAAGTTAAAGCTATGGCAAACAACAATCACCAGTAATGGTCGCTGCTCACAAACACAGCAGGCAACATGAAACGGAAGCTGTTGGGCTCACTCACCAACACACTCAAATAAGCAAGCAAAGCAGCAACTGCTTCAAAACGAACACAGATAAGTGTCGTGATTGTCGGGAATGACCAGATCGGTGATGGATCACAACAGAAGACGACATTCACCAGTTGCTTTTTACTTCTTTCGTCAACTTGATGGATGGTCAGCTTCGACGAGCACATTGATAAGAATGTACAAAGCGTTACTACCATCAACTGTTTGGCGATCGTGATTATGATAGGTCGCAACTCTGGCAACCACGCTGGTGAAATCACAGAGATAACAGTTAAGTTTGTCAAGTTGGGATGACTCTCCAATATCTGTAAAACCAGGCAAAAATATTTGGAACACCGGCAGGATGTCATCTTTTTTTGTGAAACGTCCCATCATGTTTTGGATCAATGCATCGAGTCATGGAATGAAAACTGCTCTTCGATAGTATTCCTCTGGTGTTTCTACTGATTGATTTGCACGTATTGTTTGCTTGGATGCACGTGGATGTAGTCGTAACTGCGCATTCGAAAACAGACATATGCAGCTTTGAGGTTGCATTAAAAATTTCAGCAAATTTTGCTTCAGCTCGTCTCTCTTTAAAAACCTGTATTATACTGTTCGCATAATTAAGAACCGATATTTAGATTGTAATCCTATTGAAAGTGGTTGTGTTGAAAGATCACATTGATGTAATAAATATATAAGATGTTTGTATTCTTTTACAAACAGAAAATGCATACTTTGCCTAAAGAATAAACTTTTAATATTTAAATAAGTTTTTAGACCGGTCCTGCTTTATACTGTGCCAATATGGTCTAGATCTTGCACTACCAGGAAAAAAGAACTTCAAAGGATTAAGAACAAAGTTCTGAAGATGATTTTGAAATTGCCTCCCTGGTACAGTACTACCGAAGTACATAGAATTTTGAATGTTGAGACTTTAGAACAAAATTTGTTTTAATGTCCAACAAAAGAATTAATAATTTTAGGGAAAAATCGTTGCTATCTTCAATTGCAACGATTAATTACCTTTATACATAGATAAGATATAGTTTTAGTTTTTAGTTTTGATGTGAATTGTTATACTGACATGCAGGTTTAGAAGACCTGTTTAAAATACTGAATTTCTAAGGCAGGAACAATGTAAAATCACTTAGATTTATATCATAAAAATTACAGCAGATAAGTTACTAGGTGGCTTGAGCACCTGGGATAAAATGAAAAGTAATTTATTTTGAATTTTGAACATTTAAAGAGTTAAAATCTAAATAGAAACAATGTGTGACTCTTTATTAAATCCAATGGTACATATGGAAAGGTAAATAAATTAAGAAGTCATTTGTTGTAGAAACATTCTATTTTGTATGAAATCCTGCTTGAAAAGAGGGGTACAGTGCGGATTGTGTTTAGAAGGCCACAAATTGGGTCTACACCCTAGTTCCTACGGAAGTGAAACGAGACTGATCTTTCATAAAAACTCGATGGTCCCATGATCTTTAACAGAATCGCTGCAAACATAAATTGTTCATGCACACTATATAGGTACAGCCCGAGTCTCATTTAGAGGTGGCTATAGGCCTGAAGCCTCGTCCATAAATTATTTTAATATAATATGAAAAATAAAAAAAAACCTTACCCAGGTAATGGATATCTATTACCTGTACAGTACAGGTAACAGATATCTATTATCTTGGGTCAGATTTTTTTTTTTTTACATGGTTATAATAATTTGGGGAGGGGCTTCAGCCCCATAGCCCCCCCCCCCCATGGCTACGTGCCTGAGTTCCGACTAACCTCATCGAGTGCAACCTGAGTCCCGGTACGTGACGATTCGATGGAGGACATCGTGGCGACGTAGACTGTTCCCAGCTGACCTCAGCAGTTTAACAGAATAGTTAGGTTGTTAGATGGTCGTAAGTAGAACAGGCAGGCAGTTCTTAGTTGACTCTAAAAGTGATCGGTTGGTAGTTCTAGTTTGATCTGTAGTTCTAATTTGATGAAGTGAATACAAGTGTTCAAGTGAACAAAACGTTTTTTAAAAATTCCCTGATGACAATCAGTACATAAGTGAATATCGATCTGAAAGCTTATTTTGTCGAATGTAACAAACCTGATAACAAAAATAGGAAGCATTTTTTGACCAAACAAGATTTAGAACAATGCTTTGGACGAATAAAGCGTCAAATGCAGGCGGGTGTTATAAAGCGCGTAATGTCAGAGGCAGAACAAAGAAGGACATCGTAAGACAAATTGTAAATTGTTAAACATTGTTCAGAAACTGCCAGGCAACGGCAAGGTAACAGATAAGGATAAGACTAGCACAATAGTTAGACGGATTAGTGATACTAAATTTGTTGAAGAGCTTCGGGGAACATTCAAAAACCAGCAACATATTTTACTTGTTGCAGACCCCGGTATGGGAGAAACTAGATTACTGCATTTTGTAGCGTTTGAAGTTCAAAAACAAAACCAATCTGATGTATTTAAGAACGCTATGTAATGAACTAAACAACATAGAAGAAGTATCTGTAGTGGCAACCCTACTTGCATGGGGTAAAAGGCGGTAAAAGCAAAGTTACCGTTTTGGCTTTGGAGAGAGTTGACAGTTAAACTCAGTTACGGTATTGCCATCGGAAAAAGCAAGAAAACAATCAGCGCAAATTTTAGTGCTTTGTACCTATTTCATCCAGAAAGCAGGCATTGGTAGCAAGTGATTTGTGTCTGTGAGTATCGATAAGGTAATTACTCCTTGATAAAGTTCATCGACCTTCTGAGATAGTGCATCGACGATCGGCTAGAGTTCGCTGACCTTTCGGAACGGTTCATCGACCTGGGTAGTGAAGAAGAAGAAGATGAATTTGAAGTTCGTTTTGTTGCCGGTTCCGTTGTGCTGGAGTTCTGTTGCTGCTGAATCCCATCATTATTAAGAATTAAGTCAGGAATCAGGACCAGAATTGACCGTATTTTGGGCTTTTGGACTGCTGTTCAAATTGAATACGAGCTTTGTTCCGTCGCAGCGACTAGACAGTTACGTGATTTTTTTCCCTCTTTTTATAGTTGAGAGAAACATTATTTTTGGGATTGTATTTTAATTTTTCTTTTTTTTTCATTGTTGTGTTTTGATTCCAATTGACCAATAAGAATGGCGATGGCTACAACTACAGAACCGCGCTCAAAACAAGGTTCGATAGAAAGGATTCCGATGCAATCCACACCTACAAATTTTGGACACGTAGACAAGCTCAAAATGAAAAATCAAAGGATTTTGTGCTTTCTATCAAGCAGCTTGTTGAACGTTGTGATTTAGGTGCTTTTAAGGAGCGAGCCATCCGCAATGCTTTGGTAATTGGAGGAAATGACCACCAACTACAAAAGAAACTTTTTGATGAAGAAAATGTATCTTCAGAAAGGGCTGAAAAGCTTATTGTAAATCAGAAGTTATCTTCTGATAGAACACTGTTCATTGACAGAGATGATGATCGGAGAGGTAGCGTAATTGGGTTCTTTAAGGGTATATAGGTTTTTGTATATTATGATAGGGTATGATGCCAGTATACCATAACCCAAAGACATTTTAAAATTTGAATAGTGGAAGTGTAGCATGTGATTTTCACATGTCACCAAATCATGCATGTTCTCGTTCTTCAAAATTAAATTCAATATCCAAAGGTTCAACAAACAATTACATCGGCGCGAAAACAAATGTATCAACTTACAGTGTCAATACTCGCAGGCTGTTTCCAACTAGCACGGAGTGTCACAATACTGACTAAGTGCTCTCTCACCATAACTCTTTCTCTCAATTAATTTGGACCTCTCTATCAGGTAATAATCGGTGATTGGTTAATTAAGTAAATAATGGCTTCAAGTACCTCAGGTAAATGGAAGTTAGAATAAGTCAGTAGAAGTCAATAAAAACACATTCGTTAATCAACCTACTAAGCGTGAAGTTCGTCGTCCGAAAGCCATACGTGGAAAGAACTACAACGGCAAGGATAAGACTAGCACAATAGTTCGACAGATTAGTGATACAAAATTTGTTGAAGAGCTTCGGGAAACATTCAAAACCCAGCAACATATTTTACTTGTTGCGGACCCCGGTATGGGAGAAACTAGATTACTGCATTTTGTAGCGTTTGAAGTTCAAAAACAAAACCAATCTGATGTATTTAAGAACGCTATGTAATGAACTAAACAACATAGAAGAAGTATCTGTAGTGGCAACCCTACTTGCGTGGGGTAAAAGGCGGTAAAACCAAAGTTACCGTTTTGGCTTTGGAGAGAGTTGACAGTTAAACTCAGTTACGATATTGTCATCGGAAAAAGCAAGAAAACAAGCAGCGCAAATTTTAGTGCTTTGAATTTCATCCAGAAAGCAGGCATTGGTAGCAAGTGATTTGTGTCTGTGAGTATCGATAAGGTCATTACTCCTTGATAAAGTTCATCGACCTTCTTAGATAGTGCATCGACGATCGGCTACAGTTCGCTGACCTTTTAGAACGGTTCATGGACCTGGGTAGTGAAGAAGAAGATGAATTTGAAGTGCGTTTTGTTGCCGGTTCCGTTGTGCTGGAGTTCTGTTGCTGCTGAATCCCATCATTATTAAGAATTAAGTCAGGAATCAGGACCAGAATTGACCGTATTTTGGGCTTTTGGACTGCTGTTCAAATTGAATACGAGCTTTGTTCCGTCTAAGCGATTAGACAGGTACTTGATTTTTTTCCCCTCTTTTTTTATAGTTGAGAGAAACATTGTTTTTGGGATTGTATTTTAATTTTTTTTTTTTCATTGTTGTGTTTTGTTTCCCTACACAATTGACCAATAAGAATGGCGATGGCTACAACTACAGAACCGCAAGTTATCACCGAAGCCACCTGGCTGGAATGCTGATGCTGAACATGCACTTTGGAACTTGGCAACGACGGCACACCGGGCGGGCAGCTACGAACATGCAAGGCAAGGCAAATTGATCGAAGATGGCAACGTACGGAATTTGAACGATGGCACCAGCGGAGGAAATGCAGGCAATATGAACTGTTGTTAGGTTTGATTGAAAAATAAAGTCCAGTTCGGTTTTAGCTAGCGAGTAGTTAAGAAGTTATTTTTTAAAAACTTTATCACATCCGCATAGACTTAACTCGCGTAATGCCAGAGGCAGAACAAAGAAGGACATCGTAAGACAATCAGTGGGTAAATTGTTAAACATTGTTCAGAAACTGCCAGGCAACGGCAAGGTAACAGATACGGATAAGACTAGCACAATAGATAGACAAATTGGTGATACAAAATTTGTTGAAGAGCTTCGAGGAACATTCAAGAACCAGCAACATATTTTACATGTGGCAGACCCCGGTATGGGAGAAACTAGATTACTGCATTTTGTAGCGTTTGAAGTTCAAAAACAAAACCAATCTGATGTATTTAAGAACGCTATGTAATGAACTAAACAACATAGAAGAAGTATCTGTAGTGGCAACCCTACTTGCGTGGGGTAAAAGGCGGTAAAACCAAAGTTACCGTTTTGGCTTTGGAGAGAGTTGACAGTTAAACTCAGTTACTACGATATTATCATCGGAAAAAGCAAGAAAACAAGCAGCGCAAATTTTAGTGCTTTGAATTTCATCCAGAAAGCAGGGTAGCAAGTGATTTGTGTCTGCGAGTATCTCCTTGATAAAGTTCATCGACCTTCTGAGATAGTGCATCGACGATCGGCTACAGTTGCTGACCTTTCGGAATGGTCCATCGACCTGGGTAGTGAAGAAGAAGAAGAATTTGAAGTGCGTTTTGTTGCCAGTTCCGTTGTGCTGGAGTTCTGTTGCTGCTGAATCCCATCATTATTAAGAATTAAGTCAGGAATCAGGACCAGAATTGACCGTATTTTGGGCTTTTGGACTGCTGCTCAAATTGAATACGAGCTTTGTTCCGTCGCAGCGATTAGACAGTTACGTGATTTTTTTCCCTCTTTTTATAGTTCAGAGAAACATTATTTTTGGGATTGTATGTTATTTTTTTTTTTTTTTTCATTGTTGTGTTTTGTTTCTAATTGACCAATAAGAATGGCGATGGCTACAACTACAGAACCGCGCTCAAAACAAGGTTCGATAGAAAGGATTCCGATGCAATCCACACCTACAAATTTTGGACACGTAGACAAGCTCAAAATGAAAAATCAGAGGATTTTGTGCTTTCTATCAAGCAGCTTGTTGAACGTTGTGATTTAGGTGCTTTTAAGGAGCGAGCCATCCGCAATGCTTTGGTAATTGGAGGAAATGACCACCAACTACAAAAGAAACTTTTTGATGAAGAAAATTTATCTTCAGAAAGGGCTGAAAAGCTTATTGTAAATCAGAAGTTATCTTCTGATAGAACACTGTGGTGGATACCCCTAGATACGCTTATGTCAGACCATTAGTCGTTCGTTGACGCGACGGTGCAGTTGTTGATGCTACGCAAGCATAAGCGTACTGTACCCGATATCGAACGTGGGACTGTGCTGACTCAGCTGATAAGCTGCGGGTCGACACCAACAGTTTAGCTGTAAGCAACAAATATGACGAAATATACAATTATTCTCGAACCAACCACTGGAGTGATCAGTCAATATCACACCACGAACAACTATAATCAAAGAGGACGTGGAGGAAACCGTGGTAGAAATGGTCACATATACTACCAACAGCAAATGGTCCCAGAAGGGTTACATCCAAACTTACCTACAGCCCCAGTGCCACCGGTACAAAATCAGACAAATGTCCACCCTTTAGGCCAACCATTCAGGCAGCATACGCCATAAACGTATCTGCCTCAAATTTCGTGTGCGTGTTAATTGAGGCGTCGGGCACACATTGCTCCTTGATGGTAGACTGTGGATCCGACATATCAATAATCAAAGCACATAGAATAAAGCAATCTCAAATTTACTTTCCGAACAATAAATGCAACGTTACTGGTATTGGAAGTGGAACAATATCCACTTTAGGCGATACTTATACAAATATTCAGATTGAAGATTCAACTCTCCCTCAAAATTTTCATATAGTGGAAGATAGTTTTCCTATACCCACGGATGGAATTTTGGGAAGAGATTTTTTGTGTAAATACAGATGTACAATTGACTATGATTCATTTTTATTATCAATACAATTAGATAATAATTCAATTGCAATACCAATTACAAACCAGCTGGGAGGAAATTATATAATTCCACCCAGATGTGAAATTATAAGGCAAATTAATATAGTACATAAAATAGAAGAGAGTGTTACCATTGCAGAAGAAATACAACCCGGGGTGTTTTGTGCAAATGGTGTAGTAGACACTCAAAACAAATATATGAAAATAATAAATACTAATGACGAGATGAAAAGTATATCATTTAAATTTAAACCTAAGTTGATACCTAAGGCAATGCACAAAGATGATAAAAGAAATCAAACATTATTAAATGAATTAAACTTGGATCAATCAATTGATTCAAATATAAACCCAAAACTTAAAAAATTATGTAAAGAATTTAATGATATTTTTGCTCTTAAAAATGATGTTTTAACAGCAAACAACTTTTACAAACAAAAAATTTCCCTTCATGATTCCCATCCGGTATGTATAAAAAATTATCGGACGCCGGAATCTCAGAAAGATGAAATAGACAGGCAAATTAAAAAGATGTTGGATGATAAAGTAATTCAACATTCCACATCACCCTACAATAACCCAATACTTTTGGTCCCGAAAAAATCAGATGCAAATAAAAAAATGGCGGCTGGTTATAGACTTTTTCCAGCTAAATAAAAAAATATCCCCTGACAAATTTCCTTTACCAAGAATTGATGAAATTCTTGATCATTTGGGTCGAGCAAAGTACTTTTCAACGCTCGACCTCATGTCAGGATTTCATCAGATTCCTTTAACAAACGAAAGCAAGAAATATACTGCTTTCTCTTCAATCAACGGACATTATGAGTTTAACAGATTGCCATTTGGGTTGAACGTCAGCCCAAATAGCTTTCAGAGGATGATGTCGATCGCTTTATGCGGACTTCCTTCTCAATGTGCAATTTTATACATCGATGACATCATAGTCATCGGTTGTTCAATAAATCATCATCTTGCAAATCTTCGTGAAGTTTTCAATTGCTTAAGAAAGTATAATCTTAAGCTTAACCCTACAAAATGTAATTTCTTTAAAAGTGATGTGACCTATTTAGGGCATCACATATCAAATATTGGGATTCAACCAGATAAAACTAAGTATTCAATTATCGAAAAATACCCCGTCCCAAATAACCCTGATGAGATACGTCGATTCGTTGCTTTTTGCAACTATTATCGACGATTTATACCAAATTTTGCAAATATGTGTAATCCATTAAATAAGCTTCTTAGAAAGAATGAGAAATTTGTATGAAATGTTGAATGTCAAAACGCTTTCGATACACTGAAGAAATGCCTAATATCACCAAACATTCTTCAGTTTCCCGATTTTCACAAACCATTCATTCTAACCACAGATGCCTCAAAGTTGGCTTGTGGTGCTGTACTTGCTCAATTGCACGATGGAGTAGAAAAGCCAATTGCGTTTGCCAGTAAGGCATTTACCAAAGGTGAATCTCATAAATCAACAATTGAACAGGAATTAACAGCAATTCATTGGGCAGTGTTACATTTCCGTCCGTATTTGTATGGACGTAAATTTTTGATAAAAACGGACCATCGTTCATTAATTTACCCCTTTTCAATGAAGAATCCCCACAAATAAGCAAAAAGATTCTGTAGATAAATGTTGTGACGAGGTAGAAAACCTCACAAATAAACTGAAAGCAGTTTATCTAAACAATGGAATACCAGAACCAGTGTCAAAAACAATGGCAACAAAAGCCGGAGTAGACACATTAATAAGCGGTATCCACTGTGCCGAGACAATGGTAATTTTAAAAGCAGGTACATTTAATGATATAAGGGAAGCTACACAAAAGGTGCAAGAAAATGCCCCCGCAAATTGCGCAAATATTGGCATTTAAAGGAAAGAAGCCAAATAAACAATACCAACAAAACAACTTCAGTCGTAACAATGACAATCGTACTAACCAATTCCAAAATAATGGTAGGAATAATGTCCAAAGAAATCCAAGCCATCATACACAACATGGAAACTTTTCTCAGCAGCGAAATAATTTTTCCCATAATAGGAATAATTATTACCAAAATAGAGATTGGAACGGAAGATACAATACTAATTTTCAACGTCGAATTTATACTAGCAATGCAGTGCAAGTACAGAATGTACCTCCACAAATGCATACATCAGAGTATGTACCTGTACAACTAAATCCATTCCACCAGCAAGCACAGCAACAACTTGTACAAAATAATAATAATAACAATAATACTAGCAATTTTTTAGATCAAGCAATGGTGCCACCAAATCAGCACCATCAACATTAATATACTTAACAAATATAAATGCTGTAAATTTTATTACCATAGATGTACATATGACTAATTCTAAGTGTACATTAATAATAGACAGCGGAGCTGATATTTCACTGTTTAAATGTGGAAAAATTTCGTATTATCAACCTGTGAACATTAATAAAAGATATAGAATTTCAGGAATAACTAATGGACTTACTGAAACTATTGCAGAGACTACCACAAATTTAAGATTTAACGACTGCGTAAATGTCAGTCATGCATTTCAAATTGTTAATGATGATTTTCCAATACCAACAGATGGTATATTGGGACGTGATTTTTTTTACTAAATATAAGTGCAATATTAATTACGAATATTGGTTACTAAACTTCAACTTTCAAACCCATACAATAACAATACCTATTGAAGATAGTCTTCAAAATAAAATAATTCTCCCACATTGTAGTTTCCACGGCAGGCAAGCCATGCAACCAGCCAATTCATCATTCCCAGAAACAACATCGTCGTTCCCACATAGCGTCTGGAATTGATCAAATTCAGTTCCGACTAACCTCATCGAGTGTAACCTGAGTCCCGGTACGTGACGATTCGATGGAGGACATCGTGGCGACGTAGACTGTTCCCAGCTGACCTCAGCAGTTTAACAGAATAGTTAGGTTGTTAGATGGTCGTAAGTAGAACAGGCAGTCAGTTCTTAGTTGACTCTAAAAGTGATCGGTTGGTAGTTCTAGTTTGATCTGTAGTTCTAATTTGATGAAGTGAATACAAGTGCTCAAGTGAACAAAACGTTTTTTAAAAATTCCCTGGTGACAATCAGTACATAAGCGTATCACCCCTATTCTGTATTTCGTTTCGAACGAAATTCTCATACAAAAAATTATTTTTTTGTATGAGAATTTCGTTCGAAACGAAATACAGAATAGGGGTGTATATCGATCTGAAAGCTTATTTTGTCAAATGTAACAAACCTGATAACGAAAATAGGAAGCACTTTTTGACCAAACAAGATTTAGAACAATGCTTTGGACGAATAAAGCGTCAAATGCAGACGGGTGTGATAAAGTGCGTAATGCCAGAGG